TAATTAAAATGCAAAAAGTTAAAGACCAAGAGAATGTTAAAAGCAGCAAGAGAAAAGCAGTTACTTACCTACAAAGGAGCTCCCATAGACTATCAGCTGATTTCTCAACAGTAATGTTGCAGGCCAGCAGAATTGGCAAGAAATAATCAAAGTGATGAAATGCAAGGACCTATAGCCCTGGCCGGGTAGCTCAGTTAGTTAGAACATCGTCCTAACTAACTTTTTCATCCTGATACACCAAAGTTGAGGGTTCAATCCCTGGTCAGGGCACATACAAGGATCAACCAATGAATGCATAGATAAGCAGAACAAAAAATCAATGTATCTCTCCCCCACTTTCATCTCTCTCTAAAATCAATAAAAAATAAATCTTTACAAAAAGAAAAGCAAGGATCTACAACCAAGATTACCCAGCAAAGCTATAATTTAGAATGGAAGAACAGATAAAGAACATCTCAGACAAAAAAAAGCTAAAGGAGTTCAATAACACTAAACTATTATATGAAATGTTAAAGGGTCTTCTTTAAGAAGGAAAAAAAAAAAGATAAAAAATATAACAAGGATCATATCTGAAATATAACCTCCAAAAAACAACCTTCAGAATAGTGTACAATAAACATTGTTAAGGATAAAAAATAAATGTATCCAATAAGGACTGAAGTGTTTGAAGGCTCGCTAATGCCGTTTTTATTTTTGAGTATTGTTTGGACCAAAAATCTTTCACAATTCAGAAAGCACTAAGTAATCCAACTTTGTTTCAAGCAAAATCTTCACTTTCTAGTGAACCATGATTATATAAAGGAAAAGCAAAATTTTTATTAAAATTTTGTAATATTTTAAAAAGCAACCCCACATACAACTTATTGCCCAAACAAGTTCAAACTTCTTCAACAAAGGTTTGTCAGAATGGAAACTCTCTGCCCTGGCCAGTGTTGCTCAGTAGTTAGAGCCTCTGCCTGAGCACCAAAGGGTCTCGACTTTAATTCAGGTCAAGGGCACATACCTGGATTGCAGATTCATCCCCATCCCAATGGGCACGTGCTGTAGGCAACCAATCAATGTGTCTCTCTCACAATGATGATTCTCTCTTTCTCTCTCCCCCTTTTTCCCTCCTTCCCTCAGCCCTCCTTCGCTCCCTCCCACTCTCTCTAAAAATCAGTGGGAAAAAATTAAAAAAAGGAAATTTCCCACCTTAAAAAAGTACACTTAGACACATTTACTTTCTTGTAGATTGTTAGATGACAAAACGTTTGCCCAGCCAGCATGGCTCAGTGATTGAGCATCAGCCTATGACCCAGGAGATCAAGGCTCAATTCCCTATCAGGGTACATGCCCATGCTGAGGGCTCCATCCCCAGTAGGGGGTGTGCAGGAGGCAGCCAATCAATGATTCTCTCTCATCATTAATGTTTCTTTCTCTCTCTCTCTCTCTCTCTCTCTCTCTCTCTCTCTCTCCCCCTCTCCCTTCCTTTCTCTGAAATCAATAAAGACATATTAAAACAACAACAAAAACACTTTAACCTTTAGAAGGGTTTTTTTAAAAAACTAAAAAGGCAACCCAAAATTACAATGAAATATGCCTCTCAATCTAAAGAGAAACAAAAAAGGTCTTTGGAATGTAAAGTAACTATTAACTTTATTCAAATGAATAAAGACAATGTTACAATTGCAAGATCCTTCTCCCCCTATTTTAACCAGTCCTCCTCTGGTTTTCCTTATCAATTTAACAGGAAAATTAATGTTTAAAGCTAGAACACTGGTGAAATTTTTCTTCAACAAGATCTGCCTTTTGCATTAATTCTAAAACACCCAAGGCAGTTATGTCCACATTCCAGACTTAAATGCCACAAGATTCTTTTGTGAATTAAAAAAAATAGGTATTAACTTAAAACCAGCACAACATATCAGGACACTACAAGGAATACACAGGGCAGCTGCCTTCCTATCAAAAAACAAGCTCAGCCCTCATAAATCTTCTGTTGTTATGGAAGTTTCAATACATCATTCATAAAAATGCATAATACTCTCAAAAATCAATTTTCTCTTACACATAAGCATGTGAAAATAAAGACTTCTGAAATACTCTTTTCAAATGCTATAGAAATCTACTTAGTAATGGGATTATAGAAAAACTTTTAAAAATTAGGAATGTGAATGATGAGACCTTTATTTCTTGGCATTCTTCCCTCTATTGCAAACCTAATCTAGTCTCAAAAATATATACAAGATATTGGAGTTCTTTGAATTTTGGTTTTTCTTCCCAAATTGCAGCCAACAATAATTGGAATACTGGAAATAACTCTTGAAAATCTCAAATATCTTAATTAAAATAAAATACTATATTCAAATTTAACAAAACTTCACTATAATATTCCATATAACTTAATCAGTATCTTTACCTTTTATTTTATATTCAATGATTCCTTTATGTCAAAAGCAAAGATATTGCCCTGGCCTGTGTGGCTCAGTTGGTTGGAGCATCATCTCGTGCACCAAAAGATCAAAGGTTCAATTCCCGGTCCCAGCACATACCTGGGTTTCAGCTTCCATCCCTAGTCAGGGCAAGTGCAGGAGGCAACCGATCAATGTATCTCTCTCACATCCATGTTTCTCTCTCTCTTTCTCTCTCTCCCCCTTCCTTCCTTTCTAAAATCAGTAAAATAAAAGATACATGGTTTGTGACCAACACCAGTGGCTAGCTTTCCAAGTCACTTCTCTCAACTTTTTTTTAAAAAAATCAAATTTAAAATGTGGAAGAAATTGCACACAAAGCCATATTCTCTAGGAGAAAAATGCTGTGATTATTGCATTAAAAAAAAAAAATAGCTGACTCATATTAATAAAAATTTCACAAAAAGCAGAACTTTATGAGGTACACTTTAAAAATTTCATTTGCCACACAGTCCTGGAATCTAACCTGTAAAGCTCTCCTACACAATCCATCTGTGTCTCCAGAGTCCTTCAATTCACACAGAACACGAGTGTTTCAAAAACTTATACCAACAACAGCAGTCAAACCAGGTGCAGCTTTTTGCAAGCAATAGCCCTAAACTCCAAAAAAATTAACAAGACCCTGGCGGAGTAGATACAGTTGGTCAGATATGCCTAGATTGCGGTTGGATCCTCCCTCAGGGCACATACAAGAATCAACCGATGAACTCATGCAACAAGTCATAGTTTCTTTCTCTCCCTCCCTCCCTCCCTTCCTCTTTCTCTCCCTAAAATTAATTTTAAAAATTTTTTTAATTAACAACAAAACAAAAATCAAAAGTTCAAAACCAGAAAGTGTTCTTAAATTTTCTCTTAGAAGTAGGAGTTCCTTAGTTTTACAATACTTTGCTTTTCAGTGAAAAAAGAACGGGAAATGTAATTAACAGTGATAAGGATGAGAACAGTTAGTTCCCAGGCAGAGGATGCAAGAATTTACAACGCAGGCTCGACCTAGAGATATCTCTCTCTCTCTCTCTCTCTCTCTCTCTCTCTC